GGCATGCCAGCCCCTCCCCCCCACCAACAAAGCAAACAAATTTAAAACGGACTAACTCAAGGGCTTTTTTTCTGCACGGGGACCCACAGGCAACCAGCCAAGCCAGTTCAAGGCTCCATGTGGGCATGCCAGCTCCCCACCACCACCAAAACAAACAAATTCAAAACGGACTCACTCAAGTGCTTTTTTTCTGCACGGGGACTCACAGGCAACCAGCCAAGCCAGTTCAAGGCTCCAGTTCGGGAACCTTGGGATGGGGTGGCCAGACCTCTCGGGGCGCCGCGGATCTCCGCGCCCCTGGGAAGCCTCGCCCCCTTGGCTCCTCACTCCCGGAGCGGTGCTCCGGAGAGCTCCGGCCCCATCCGACCCCTGTATTTATTTATTTACATTATTTACAGTCCACCTTTCTCACAGGGACACAAGGCTGACTACAATACTATGAAGATAGATTCAGGTGGGTAGCCATGTTGGTCTGAAGCAGCAGAACAAAGTTTGAGTCCAGTGGCACTTTTAAGACCAACAAAGTTTTATTCAAGGTATAAGCTTTTGTTCGCATGCACATTTATTCAGATACAGTGAAACGACATCTTCAACCATTACACATAGGTAGAGAGAGGGTGGGGTGGGGGTTAGTTGCCAGGAAGAGCTAGTTAGAGTCAAGATGCATAAGTAACTGGGCAATTATAGCTGAGACTGGATTAAAGCGGTTGGTAAGATCTGTGAACAGTAGTAAATTAGCATACAAATACAAGAGTTAACTAACAGATGTGAGAATTGAGTTTGAGTCCAGTGGCACCTCCAAGACCAACAAAGTTCAATTCTGGGTATAAGCAAGAACAGAGAGACTTGGCATGTATGGATGCACACTTCTTAGATACACTGAAACATATTTCCTCAAATGTTACATATAGGTACGGGGGGTGTTAGCTGCCAGGAAGGGCTAATTAAGAGTCAATACAGGTAAGATTAGAATAATGTACCATAAATACAGGTAAGATTAGAATAATGCATTTAGGAAGACCTGTGCATAGCAACAAATGGGCATACAGATAATAAAAGAGTTAACAACAGATGTGAGAACTATGTTTGAGTCCAGTGGCACCTTTAAGATCAACAAAGTTTAATTCTGGGTATAAGTGAGAACCAAGTGACTTAGCGTAGTGAGATAAGCCAATATCTCAGCCCTGACCTGGATAGCCCAGGCAAACTTGATCTCGTCAGATCTCAGAAGCTAAGTGGGATCGACTGTGGTTAGTACTTCGATGGGAGACTTCCTTAGAATACCAAGTCAGGAGGACAGAGGCAGGCTTTCAGCCACCTCTCTGAATATCCTCCTGGCCCCCAGTAGGGATCAGTCACCAGAGGTCAATGTGACTTCCAGGGGCAGACACACAGAGAAAATACCAAAAAATACCCCCCCCCCCAAAAGCCAATATCTCTGTTAAGCCCTGAGGGTTCCATTGTCCTGAGTGTTGTAAAACAGCTATTACAACACTCAGAACAACAGAACCCCCAGGGCTGTTTCAATGTATCTAAAAATCTGTTTCAGTGTATCTAAGATGTGTTCATTCATACATGGCTAAGTCTCTCAGTTCTTGCTTATACCCAGAACTGTTAGTCTTGGAGGTGCCACTGGACTCAAACTGAGTTCTCATATCTGCTTGTTAACTCTTGTATTTGTATGCTAATTTAATGCTATTCACAGATCTTACCAACCGCTTTAATCCAATCTCAGCTATAATTGCCCAGTTTATTTTATTTTATTTATTTATTATTATATTTATACCCCGCCCTCCCCCGTAGGGCTCAGGGCGGCTTACATGGCAAGAGAACTTGCTAATAAAAACATCAAATAATTTAGTACATTTAAAACATAATATACAATTTAAAACCCATTCAGACATTAAGGTGCTCAAACTACATCATCCATTCCGGAATCTCAGAGAGGACAACCACATCCACAAACCAAACACCCCCCGGTAGGCATTCCATGATAGATGTTATATTTGAGATGTTTGTTCCTGCCCACCTAGGGCCCTACCCCCCCAAAGGATGGTAATATAAAGGGGGGGGCGGGGGCGGCCCCTAGTCAAAAGCCTGGTGGAAGAGCTCCGTCTTGTAGGCCCTGCGGAACTGCATCAGGTCCCGCAGGGCCCGGATCTCCTCCGGGATCTCGTTCCACCAGGTGGGGGCCGCCACCGAGAAAGTCCTAGCCCTGGTGACGGCCAATTTAGCATCCTTGGGGCCCGGCACAGTTAGAAGGTTTTGGGCCCCAGACTGTAGAGCTACTTATGCATCTTGTTACTTATGCATCTTGACTCTTAACTAGCCCTTCCTGGCAACTAACCCCCCACCTCTCTGTACCTATATGTCATTGTTGAGGACTCAAATTTAGTTCTCACTATATCTGAAGAAGTATGCATACACATGAAAGCTTATACCTTGAATAAAACTCAAACTTTGTTCTATAATACTATGGTAACTTTTGTTCAATTGAATTAGCTTCCATTTTCCCCCCAGTTAATGTATAAGGGTTTTTTAAACCTTTTCAGAGGCTTTCAGTATTTTTATTTTTGTATTGTATTTTTTAGAAGTTGTGTTTCAAAAGGCTTGCAGACGATACTGCAACAAACAATTGTTTTCACATCATTTTTTTCATATTTATACATTATTACCAGGGAAGGGCTCATGAATTCTTCTAAATATGTCTGACAGAGCCTGCGGTCCCAGTCATCAGTGATGTGTCCACCATACATTATCTCACCAAAGAGATAGCGCAAGTCTTCCCATGGAACCTACAGAACATAATGGAATGTATAATTAAATAGAACACTTTCTAAAAGGACAAACCAAAGTCATTCAGAACAGCACTGACATGATAAAACACTGACTTCATTAGCAGAAAGAGAAAAATCAATATTCTTTTGCCCAGATGTTTCAATACTTCTAGTGCAGTAGTGGTACTCACTGGCTCAGGGGTAGCAGCATTCACATTACCATCAAACAAAGAATCACATGACCACTGTACCCCCTGTGCACCAGCCCACCAAACACATACCTACAATTATATAACAATATTAAATATATGATTATAACCTTTTAGATTACCTGAACAAATGTGAGCATGTAGGGTTCTCTCCCTCTCTCCATAAGAACATAAGAAGAGCCCTGTTAGATCAGAACAGTGGTCCATCTAGACATGCATCCTGTCTCAACCAGTGGCCACCCAATTCCTTTGGAGAGTGCCAACAAACGGGCATACAGGTGGAGACCTTCCCCGATGTTGCCTCTTGACTCCATAATTCAAAGGTTTAGAGTGCCTTTGAATGTGGAGGTTCCCTTCTGTCACCATGGTTAGTAGCCACTGATAGACCTATCCTCCATGAATCTGTCTAATCTCCTTTTAAAGTTGTTTACTCCTGTGGCCATCACTACATCATCTGGCAGCAAATTTTGCATTTTAATCACTCTATGTAAAAAAGTATTTCCTTTTGTCTGTCCTGAATCTACTGCCCATCAGCTTCATTGAATGCCTTCAAGTTCTAGTATTTTGGAAGAGGGAAAAAAATTCTCTTTGTCAATTCTCTCCACCCTGTGCATAATTTTATAAACCTCTGTCATTGTCCCCCTTGGGCCACTCTTTTCTAAACTGAAAAGTCCCAGCCTCATAGGGAAGGTGCTCCAACCCCCTAATCATCTTAGTTGCCCTCTGCTGTACTTTTTCCAGTTCCGCAATGTTATTTCTGAGATATGACCAGCCCTGTACACAGTACTCCAAAGTATGCACTTTACCCATCCTCCAGTGCCTGCAGTGACAGCTGTTTCAAGGCGAGAACCAGCTGCGAACTACAAGTCTTACTGGGCTTTGCTCACTTTCCTGGAACTTGGGTTGTATTCCACATTGGAGAACAGTTCTCAGAAGAGTCACAGGGGGCTCTCAAGTCACTGAGTTATCACTGTTCTAGTGGAATTAAGTCCTGACCTGATAGCCTGGGATAGTATTTGCATGGGAGACTACCAAGGAAGTCCAGGGTTGCTACGCAGAGGCAGACAATGACAAGCCACCTCTGAACATCTCTCACCTTGAAAACCCCTTGAGGGGTCACCATAAATTAAAGTAGAATAAGGACTTATCTTCATCCTGCCTTCCTTAGTCCAGCTGTCCTTTTCCCTTATGACCTCCTTGCCTGCCTGGTCTCTTTTGTGCTGTGGACTGGGCCTGTGATGTCACAGAGAGTTTGTGTTGCCAGGCAGTGTCATTAGCTTAGTTGCCCAGGTTAAAAAAACCTGTGTAACTTGGGGGCCACCTTGACCTGAATGGCCCAGGCTAGCCCAGTCTCATCAGATCTCAGAAGCTAAGCAGGGTTGGTCCTGGTTAGTATTTGGATGGGAGACCACCAAGGAAGTCCAGAGTCATGATAGAGAGGCAGCCAATAGCTAGTTCCTTGCTTTGAAAACCCCACAGTGTCACTACAAGTCAGCTGTGACTTGATGGCAAAAAAGGGTGAAATTTATGTTAAAAGAACAGAATTATAATGTAGAGCATTAATCCATCTTGCCATGATAATACGATACCTGGGTTGGCTTGCCAGACTGATCTTCGTGGTCTCTGTGCATCACACCTCTGGGATATAGTGTGCCTGCACCGATCTCGATCGGTTCCTCTTGAAAGCGAAAGGGATTTTCATGCCCGCTCCCCAGTCACGCGCCGGCCCCACTGCGCATGACCAAGGGAGGGCACGACAATCCCACCAGTTCTCTTCTGACCGCCACGCTGGTAGGATCTTCTCCACTTTGGTCGGTAAACAATTTTGGGCTTTAAGGCCTATTCCTTATTTTCTTCTTTGAAGTTTCTTCGTTTTCTTCTGTTTATTTTTGTTAAGTGAAAGGACTTTGTTAAGTGAAAGGACTTTCTACAGATTTATTTCCTTTTTGGACTCTGTCGTGTGTCCCCCCTCTGGCCTATGCAGAGGTGGGGTTTCTTCAAACAATGCCTTAAGTGCGGCAGCAAGATCGCCCTTCCCAGACGGACACTCGCTTTGCCTTTTGTGCTTTGGGGAATCGCACTGAGTAGACTCTTGTGTTCATTGTGCAAAGTTTTTGAAGCAGGCAAGGAAGAAAAGAGCTGCCAGACTTCGCATTGTGCTTTTGGAGCTAGCGCTTTCACCGATGTCATCATAGAACACTTCAGGGCATGCGTCAATGTTGACTGCCACCTCGGCATTGATGCCTGCACTGTCCCTGATACCGACTCACATAGATGTCGACTGCCTGATACTGAAACACTTGGCCCAGACATCTCAGTCCTAAGCCAATACTCCCTCCAAAAAATGCAGTGAAGGCAAGGACGATCGGCCAGTCAAGCTTAAAAAGCATAAGAAAACTCCCCCTGTGCAATCTCCGCTGACCCTTCGGAGAGCCACGAAATCGAATCTTGCAAGGGCTGCTTCACTTGACTCTCAGTGCCAACAGCAGCCACAAGGTGTACCTCGGTCGTCTTCGCTGCATCCTATCCAGCTCACTGACTCTCCCGGTCTTCCAGTGTTGAAAGTCTGCACTTAGACCGCGGAGCCAATGAGTCTGTCTGTCCTTCACAGCTCCAACCTGATGATCGAGACCGACCATTGGCACTGATCCACCCGCCAACACCGCCCTCCTGGGACCAACGACAGTGGCAATACATGTATGGGGCCTATCCATTTACTGGCAGTATGCCGTGGTTCCCACCCCATCTGATGGAATGGGACCATCAGTCCATCTCTTCACGTCTCTCCCGGTATTGAAATTCTGCATTGACACTGGAGTTTGTGAGGCCCCAACCGTCGAGGCCGACGGGCAACCCCCCCAAGCCGTCACACCCAACAATTCCACGTTTAAAAATTCATCGGATCTGACTCCATCGATACCGATGCCACTTATGTCTTTTTCTGAACCGTCAGAGCACTCCGCCACTTCAGATGCTTCCTCCCAATCAGGGGACGAAAACCCTGACCCTCCAGTGGAACCCTCGTCACCACAAGAAGTGGGTGATGATCTTCCAATCTCCCCTTCGGAAGACTTAAAATCCTATGCGATTTCATCAAGCAGATGGCTAAGACGCTCACTCTGTCTATGGTATAGCCCCTGCCTACTGTGACAGACTCCGTGTTCGATATCGTCCAAATGGACACCTCTACCCCGATTGCCTTACCGATGACTTCAGTCCTCCTTCAGGCGGCTAAAGTCCCATGGTCTCGCCTGGCATCAACCCCTGTCTCGAGCTGGAGGGTAGATCATATGTATAAGGTGCAGGTGCTGAATTTCTGTTTACCCACCCTAAACGTAATTCTGTCGTAGTCACTTCTTCCTCCAAGGGCAGACGCAGTCATTCCATCCCCTCTGAGAAAGAAGGCAGGAAACTTGATTTGTTTGGAAGAAAATTTTATTCTTCAGGAGCACTTGGCATCAAGACGTCAAACTATACAGCATGTATGGGGAGATATCAGTTTGGTCTTTGGGAGCAGATATCTGAATTTATTGGAACCCTCCCTGAGGACGCTAACCATTAGGCTCGCAGGATTCAAAAGGAGGGAATGTGGGTAAGGATCAGCGATATGGCATTCCACTGGCTGAGGCGCAACACATTGTCTCTGCCTGCCCTCACTGTGCAGGGTTTTCTCATGTTCCCGAGGCTGGGATCAATCCACGGGGGCTTAGCTCCTGTGAATTGTGGCAAATGGATGTCACTCATGTCCCTCAAATGGCTCCCTGGAAGTATCTCCATGTTACTGTGGATACTTACTCGGGAGCTGTTTGGGCAACTCCGCAATGAGGGAAAACCACGTTCCGAAATGACCCTAGCCATGGGTGCATCCCTGTGAGGATGGGGGACTCCCCTCCAAGGTGTGTGTGTGAGCACCAAATGGGAACCTCATATGGCCCACAAAATCACTGCATTGGGCTCAAGATAGCGGCTCAAGACAGACAATGCCCCCGCATATACGTCGGATGCTTTTCTTTCCTTTTGCACTCTATGGGCCAGTTTGCCCTAAGGTCCTTTCGCCATCTCGTGGCTCACCGTACGGTGGCAATCCTGACAGACAACACCACTGCACTGTGTTACCTGAACAGGCAAGGCGGGACAGTGTCCAGGGGAATCTGTTGACTGGCCTGGGAGATTTGGACCGAGTGTCAATCCCAGGGTGTGTTCACCATTGCTGCTCACCTGCCAGGGTCGCTCAATGTGCATGCGGACTTTCTGAGCAGAGGAGCCGCATCCCTCCACAAGTGGGAGCTCAACTGGGCTTACCTCCAACCAATTTTCCACAGATGGGGTTACCCAGAAATTGATGTGTTTGCGACGTGTCAGAACGTGAAGTGTCATATGTTCTGTACCAGGACGGGACAGGACCCTCTGTCTCTGGGGGACGGCCTTCTGTTCCCATGGTACCACAGGTACATGTACCTGTTCCCACCAATTCCTCTACTTACCTGAGTGCTGAGCTAGATTATGATGGAACAACCTCAATGCATCCTCGTGGTACCATGGTGGCCCCATCAGCACTGGTTCCCAACTCTACTCCACATGTCCTGGGGCACATACATGCATTTTCCCCGGGCACCAGATCTCCTCCCGGCTCAGGAGGGCAGGGTGCTTCACCACGTACCACAAACTCAAGGTGTGGAGAATCCCCTAGCACAGCTCAAAAACAGTATAGACCTTGTTCTGTTGAACTGTCGGAAGCCAGCTACACGTGCTTCCTATGAAGGGAAGTGGAAGAAATTCCTGTCTTACCTCAAGTCGTTGGGTTTACCA